TTGTAACATGAAACTACATTCGTTTATCCTAAGTAGCTCTAAGTTCATAACACAATACATCTATTTATAATAATATCTTATGGCCCTTTGAACCATGTCTAACTACTATCCACACCATTATAAGTTGTAAATCACTCGGAGAACGAGCAGCTCACATTACGCTAATAAATTACATTACCCACGAGCTGCTTGTGTGTGTGCCTTATGAAACCTTTTTATTATAATATTATTATTATTTATTTTACTTAATCTAATCTTAACAAACCTAAAAGGATCCCTATTTTTATCTTTTACTTACTTTTATAGTTATACATAAAGAATAAACATGAAAAACAAGAAATAAAATACTTAACCAATCTTCTTTTTTTCTTGCCATCAGATTTTGAAGAGAGTTAACCCTAATTTTTTATACTAATAATAGGAATGCATTAAATAATTTTTATGTAATTAAATAATGCACCAAAGAATATAAACTATTAACTTGCAAAAAGTAGACAAATTCCCTTACCCCTCTGGCGTTTTTTTTTTCTGGCTTTCTAACTATGTAACGAGCTGTTACAAATTCATCCAAACTAGTGATTAACTTTCCCACAGGAACGAATCTTGTACTGTGAGTGAAATTGACAATATTCTATTCAGAGCACATCGTTATACAATACATCATTTGATAGATGAAAACCTTGACTTTGTATTGGTTATAGATAATATATAATGAAATGTAAGAGATAACTATCAATGAATTGTGAAAAAGAGGATGTGGGAGGGGTGTGTGATTTTCTGTTCAATAGCTCTGTAACCAAATAAAATTAAAGGCTATAAAAAGTATGGTTTGTTTGAGCAATAATGATTTTATAGAGATTAATTTACGTTCAATTTCGTACTTTTTCTAGGGATGATGACATGCTAAGAGAAAATGTATCACATGAGTCACACTAATGGAAATTCAGGATTTTTTTAATATTGCCTTGTAGAATTAAGAATGTAAACCTTGTATACTATTAAAATATGGATTATTAGCTAAGATTTTATGCTATTCTAATTGGTATAACTTAGTGTCTTACATTAAAACATTGTGTCATGCACAGTAAAGTATACCCAGGGCAATAGGGTTAATATAAAGTTCTGGAAATGGGTATTTATAGATCTTGTCTTTGTACTAATAAAAGTTTATACTTTGTATGCATCATAGTCGTGGTGAACAAAAACTGCTCTGACAGGTACCTCTATGTAGACTTATCTTTTTATTTCCTCACATTTCTGAAAAAGTATTTTGGTTTTGTCATATTCATGTTCAGTATACAGTCTCTAATTGGCCTGATATGGCCAGGTGGTTAGAGTACTTGACTCACAATCTGCTGTTTGCAGATTTGGTTCTCTGTTCCACCACACATGCAAACATGCTCACCCTTTCATCCATGGGGGCATTGTAATGTGATGGTCAATCCCACTATTCTATAGTAAAAGAGTAGCTGAAGAGTTGGCAGTTGGTGATGACTAGCTGCCTTCCCTCTTGTCTTTCACTGCTAAATTAGGGATGGCTAGTGCAGATAGCACTCATGTAGCTTTGTGTGAAATTCAAACCAACAACAGTTTACAATGTGAAAACATTAGTTCAAGATGATTTCAAAATATTTTGTTGTTGTTTTTGTATCACAACGCCTCAAAAAATTGACTGAACAATTTCTATGGAAACAAGGCTAATAAAATTATTTTATCTGATTGATGTATATTTGTGTCAACAAAGAATGAATGCTATTCTGATGAAGGGAAACAGTTTTATGACAGTTTTATCTTGTATTTAGTGTGAAATATAACAATACTCCATAAAATATATACATACACACAAGTTTTTTTTTAATTAAATGTTTTGACCTCAAATTGATAGGCCTTTCATTGAATTAATTTGTATTTTCCTCATAATAATTTTTAAATATTGAAATGTAATCTCTTCATTATTATATTAGTTCATTATTTCTGTGATAGGTAGTCTATCTACATCCACTGTGAGCAGGTATTTCCCAGTGCTTGCACGCAAAAATCTTGGCATTGTGTGAGTCATGAAACAAACATTCTGACCAATGAAACTCCATTTTCTTTTTTCTGTTGCCTTAAACTTATGATTGAGTGGCCAAAATATATTATAAACATCAAATGGCATGGTATCCTAAATTAAACCAGTTAATATTTGAGCAGCAGGTTCCAAATTATTTAAGCTAGCTATTTTGATTCAATAAATAATAATGAAGAATAATGCTACCTGGTTAGATTAGTTAACTCAAATGGCATGATTATGAACATGTTGACACCAACAAGAACACTGAAAATTGCAGGGTAAGGCCTCAAGCCTTGAAACACACAATAAGATCAGGTAAGTACAGTGTATGAGAAGTAAGGTATGGAATTGGAAAATAAAGTCTGGAAAGCTGCAACATAAGTGTCAAATTTGAATTGAGGATTTGTTCATATATTTTTAAATGTATGTAATTAAAAGCCGAGTACTTTTTTTTCAATTTCTGTTACATATTTAGGCTATAAATGATTAATATCATATCATGTTTCTCAATACCTGGAATGGGTAACTGAATACAAATATATAGATATCAATGTTTGCTTTGTCTTAAGGAACAGTAATAAGGTAGCTGATGTTTTTTTGTTTTTATTATACAAACTAAAATAATTAGGGACATTCTTCTAATACTCAAAAGAAAAACATATTGGTAGAAAAATGGGCATTTATTGTTTTTCAAGTAATTCCTTATTTACACAAAATGTACTTCATCTGTGTTTGTGATAATCTTTTGTGTACATGTTTATACACAAAGTTGAATACATTAGTACTTGTAGACAAACCGTTAGTTTTGGGTTAAATAAATTTCATAAAGACTGGGCTTGTAATTTGGTGGACTTCTATAAAAATAAATATTTCTATAGGTTTTATGTTGATTTAGCAAAGTTTTGATGAATGTACAGCATATTTCTAAACTGCATTAATTTGCATATTATGTTTTGTGTTGAACATCAGAGAATTGATAAAAGTTGTCCTGGCCAATTTATCCAGTAGAGTCTGATCCCTTAATAGGACCTAGTATGGCCTGGTGGCTAGGGTGCTCGATTTGCAATTTGCAGGTCATGGGTATGAATTCTTATCACCCAACATGCTCACCCTTTCAGCTGTGTGGGTGTTATATTGTGATGGTCAATCCCACTATTTATTGGTAAAAGAGTAGAATAGCTCAAGAATTGGCAGCAGTTGGTGTTGACTAGCTGCCTTCCCTCTAGTCTGTCACTGTCAAATTAGGAATACCTAGTGCAGATAGCCATTTAGTAGCTTTGCAGGAAATTCCAAACAAATTAAACTCTTAATGTATTTTTTAAATACATCAGAACAACATCACTAATGTTTACAAAGCCTTATTATTTTAGAAAATTTTTTTTATTTTTTCTCTTAATATAAGGTTCTTGTGAACTTGAATATCTTAAGCTTAGTTTAGTTCTAACGTTAAAGTCCAGAAGTCAGTTATCATACAACTGCTGTGTATAATGTATTTACACAAAAATGGTAAATGTGTATCTGAACAGCATTTTTAATTATTACAGTGTAGTAGGTAGTAGCACTAAGAAGCCTGAAATAGGTAAAATATTTTGATAAGTAAATAAGTATTATTTTGTTTTGTCTTTTGTAGTGAATGGTGTTAAAACAAAATCAGGTGACTGTATCTGAAACCACAATAAAAGGTTCAGTTTTACATGTATATTTATTTATCTTTTTATATTTGTTTCAGATGTAAATTGTTTTACAAGAAAGGTGGCTCTTATGTGGACAAAGGCATAGGAACATTGTATGTAAAGATGGTAGAAGAAACATCACAGTTATTAGTGAGAGCTGATACTAATTTAGGTAAGTCCATCCTTTAAAATGATGGTAATTAGAACTTTCAACCCTTACCTTGATAGTTCTGTACTAGTTACACACTCAACCTCCTCCCATGACAAGACTTATTTAAGTATAGTCCGCATAAGCTGAGATGAGCCCAGCTACCTGAAGTTAGTCTTTCCATCCCAGTATATTGAACAAGTCACTAGTTATTTATAAATTTTAGATGATTTTCAATAACTAGCATCCTCTTTATAAAGTGACCCATGGGTGCTATGACCACAGACATTTTCCATTATGCATTAATGGTAAACAAGGACTGGAAATAAACAGTTTTCTCTTCATTTTTCTTAGTCTCATAATAGACATCTCAGTTTAGGTTTATATATATGTATTATTTAAATTCAAAATAATTTTCCCTGCACAATTCACAGCATTATTTACTTAAATGCAAATTTTATTTCAACTGTGTTTTTAGAAGATGAAAGAGGAATTAATCTTATTGTTCTCATGATTGATGTTTTTTAGCAGTAATGATAGGACCTATTGTGGAATCTACTGGATTTTGCAACCAAGTTAAGCCTCTTGCGATAAACATGCCCTCAAATTTACACATCTGAATTGTTATCAAGCAGCAATCATTAAGTTTCATTTCTTTGATATGATTCATAGAAACTGGTGGGACAGGAATATTTTATAGTTTATATTTTTTAAATTCTTTAACCTTTGATTAAAAAAATGAAATATGGTATTTGAGTTTTGCATTATCATAATAAAGCTATCAGTGATTTGATAATTTTGTTTTTTAGGTAACATTTTTAGGTAACAAATTCTTTAACCTTTGATTAAAAAAATGAAATATGGTATTTGAGTTTTGTATTATTATAATAAAGCTATCAGTGATTTGATATTTTTTTTTGTTTAGGTAACATTTTGTTAAATGTTCGTCTAAGTTCCAGTCTCCCAATGGAAAGAGTAGGAAATAACAATGTGCTTATTGTTTGCATTCCCAATCCTCCTATTGACCCGAAAACATCTACTGAATCAACTCCTTTCCTCATTCGTGTTAAGAATGGCAAAGAAGCTGATGAGCTTCTAGAAAAGCTGAATCAGTATAAATCTTAAACCTCCACATTTGTTAAGTTCATGATTCTGATTACGCCAGATGTACGTTTCCAGGTTAAGGAATTACTAGTTTTTATTGTTGTAAAATATTATGACTTGTGTAAGGATGGAAAATAAAGTTATGACCTTTGGTATAACTAGTGTAAATACAAAGGCTTGTTAAAAACGTGTGTGGTTTGTCATTCAAGTTTAATCTTGGTTATTAGTACAAGTCAAGATAGATAATCCACATCTATGACCAATGTTTTTGTATGTGCTGGGTTATATGTGTTTAAATATTGTCTTTATAAGGCATACTTGATAGTGTGTTATTTGTTGCATTGATAACTATAGATAGCAAATGAATTTAATGAAATGTATATTACATGAAGTAATCTAATGTAATAATTTTAAAATTAACTGTTACAGAATAGAAAGCTAAAGTCTTAATCCCCATTGGGTAGAATTAAAAGGAGAGAATTTCCAGTTTCATCACATTTAATCCAAAATATAATAATCAGTTTTTTATGTATACATTTAGTCAATTTAAAGTATAGGTATCAAAGACATTTTAGTACAAGTCAGAGAGCAGTTTAAGATTCATATTAAGAAGCATGGTTGTATATAATTGAAATACATTTATGAAATTGATCATCTGATTGGTCAAGTTACACTAGTAACTTTAAGGTTTTCGAGTGTGTTTTATTATAAAGAGAAATATTAACATTTGAAGTGAAACATACGATAGCATCACATTATGTTAGTGTATCATGTATCTATTAATACAGTATTAAAGATACAGACTTAATTGTTGTTATGGTTAGTAGCCCATGGTTATTAAGTAGTAATTTCTTTTAATAACTAAATACTAATTATTAATTTGTTTTATTGTGTGTTTCAGCTGCTTAATCTGCTGTTGTCTTCAGGGAAGTCCTAGAAAGTCTGTGTCTGTATTGGTAGAGGCTGGGATTAGATCCTGGTTCTTCTTGATAGAGGTTTTCCCCCCATATAGAACTTGAATCAGTTAACTATCTGAATATTTTCAAGAGGAGTATCCAGGTATTGCAAACTTCTATGCAACATTGACTGAGTGTATTATCAGTAAGGTGTATATGTGGTTGATAGTATTATTCCAGTTTATTGTTTGGTCTTCTTTACTGGCATGATAGGCTACTGCAGATAAATCATACTAAGTCATGTATTTCTGTCTTGTACCTGAATTCTAGCTTTTGTTAGTCTTTTTTTTTCTCTCTGTCTCTCCCTCCATTGTATTGGAATTCACATTCACAAGAAATGTTGTAAATGGTGTTTTTCCTTTACTTTGTTCGTCATACAGATTTGAGTGGCTGTGGTTAATCAAAAAAAATTTTGATGTTAAGAAATATGAATCCAAGGGTTGCTGTTGTTACAGTACTTGACAAAATTATTATTTTTGGCCCTAACCATGTCAATATCATTTAAAGAGAAACCAGGAAGAATATTTCAGGCATGTCTCACATCAGCTCATTTGATAATCGGTTTGAATTGGCTGTTAGCAACTGAACATAATTTCATACAACATCAAACTTGTAAATATGCAGATAAAAATTTTTCTTAGCTTAGATTCATTAGTATATGCATGCTTTGAAAGTACTGGTGAAAATGAATTTTCTGAATGGGAACCTGATCCTTTAATACTGTTTTTAAAGTGTTTTACAGACACTTGCTGGTACATTGTTAATGATAACAGTAATAAATATTTTAACATTCAAACATTTTAACTAATAGTGCCATGTACTTTAATTTTAAAAAAAAGTCATCAGCAGAAAGTAATGTTTTAATTATGTTACAGGCATATTCCTAAATTAGCTAGTTCATGAAATTACTAGATATTTACAGTTATTTCGTAAAATGACAAATTTCTCATTGTTCCTGTGGTGGACATATATCCTACAATTTTCTTAATATCTTTAAATATATTAATGAAGACATTTAAAACTGTACCTTTTTTTTTTGGTTTTTTATAGGTTTGTATACAAGATGGATGTTAAAATGATTCCAATATACCTAAGTGTTTATAGTGACATAATTTGTCTTTAGAGCTTCTGTACATAGTGTATTTCTTGGCATGGCAAAAAAGTTGAAAGTTTCAGTTTATACAAGTTTTTTTTAAGATATCTAGTAATATTGAATATATGAAGAAACCATGATATTAAGAACTCATTTGGGATTAATAAATAGGAAAAGCTAACAATTCTGAAGAAGGAAGGTGTACATTCAAAAATCACTTGGGTTTTTGAGTGCATGAGAATATCTTATAATTCTAATAAAGTAAAAATTTGATTAAATATATGTTTGCTTGTGACTTTTGTAGTGAAAGTATAATTTGTAGTTTCACATTCTGCATTTTTAAACATAATTTTTACTTCAACAAATATTTCTAGTTTAATATTCTTTGAATTGTTAAAATACATGAACCACAGTTTAATATAAGTTCTTTTATAATGTGAGCACTTTAAAAAAAAACTTTTTGTCAATGTGCAGAATATATATGTTGATATCTGGCCAAGAGTTTGTTGTTGTTTTTATCCATCATACTTTTTTAAAGTTTCCTGTGGGATTCTGATCCATTTTATGTAACAGTTTTTTAGGGTAAATTAGGGTCTTTTTTTTTCTGTTGCATCATACAATGCTTAGTTTCTGTATGTTGGTTAGATTGAGGTGAGGAAATGACACACACCCAATTAATATCTTAGAACTTTTGTTATCTACCTCACAAGCATATTCATTGGATTACAGTATTTATATTGGATTCAAAGGTTTATCTGTAGTTGAGAGTGTACAAAACTGGAATATTTCTTTTCCTTTTTCTCCATTTCTGTTTCTTTTGCCACTTGAACGCTTCTTATAAATATTGGTTTGGAAATTTAGAAGGGACTGTCTATATACCAACAGTAAATATATAGTAGACATTTATGTTGTGTTATTAATAGTAATTTTCTTACACTTATTGATAATCCCAATTACAACATTAGGGTGTACAAACAGCAAGAAAATGTGGAAATATCTGAATAGAATATCAATAGTAAAATAAAAACAGCAAAAATGGAATGTGGATAAAAAATATTAAAAGAAGGTTCATTGTTTTGTTGATGCCAGATTTATACTTTTTCCTGGTGATGAAATCTTGAGCTTTTTTTTTTTTTGTACTATTTTAACTGTTTGGATTTTACTAAACAGCAAGAATTGTGTTTTTAGCCTTTTGGTTTTCCACAGAATGGACATTATTTTTGCTAGTTATGAATAATCTAAAGGTTTAGATTATTTTAAGTATTAATGTTCAGAAACTGTTGGGAATTATTTCAAGTCTTGTAATTGAAATTAATATCTACTGTTTTAGACTTCATCACATTCCTTAGTTTTATGGAAATTTTGAGCATTTAACAAAATTTAACTTTGAATTGGCAGTTTAGAGATTGAGAAGGAAAACTGTATTTTTACACTAACTTGCTGAAAAACAGCTACCTTTACATGTCCTCAGTGATTTATGCATCCTGTAAAAAGTTAGTAAGTTTACAATATTTTCTTTCAATCATGATGTGCCAAAAACCAGAACTTAATTTTCTCTGAATTTTATGTAAAACAAAAAATAAAATAAAAATTATATACTAATCAATTATACCTGATCCTTCACTTTGTATTGTGAATGATACATAATTAATGACACACAATAATCTGATAATTCCCAAAGTTATCTGGAATAGAAATTCCCATTTTAACCAGTTTTTATTCAGTACTATTCCAAATGTCTTAATAGTTCTGAAAATCTTTAACATATGAAAATAGTAATCAATCTAATGTTTACTTAAAATTTTGAGAGTTCATATTATAAAGTAGGTAGTATGCAAATTGTACAGGCTGAGAACACAATATTAGTATTAATTTTGATATGAAGGAATCCATTAGAGTAAGGAAAAATTTCTATGAATAATGATGTTGCAATTATAAATTTGTGATGCACATTAGTATTTCAAAAATGGAAAGTACTTGTACTCAAACCTAATTTGTTATATCTCTGATGAGGAAATGTCATCAAAATTTTTAAATATGTAACCATCTTGTCATTCCCTCCCTGTTGCACAGCGGTATGTCTGCGGACTTACAACACTAGGATCAGGGTTTCGATACCCATGGTGGGCAGAGCACATATTTCCCATTGTGTAGCTTTGTGTTTAATTACAAACAAACCATCTAGTCACAAGGCATTGAAACAATTAAGATTATAATTTTTATGCATTAAATAGTATGATAGCATGGTAAATAATTTTGACATAAAAGGGGAGAAGAATGGTTTCAGGGCATGTTTTTAATAAGATCTTGCAAAACTCAAAAGATTAAATCTAGGATTTACTTTTGTAATGTAGATTGTCAAGCAGGAATGGAAATGTAAAATCACATCATCAAAACACTAGTTATTGTATGAAATGTACCTGGTCCAGCTAATTCATCAACATAATTATTCTGTGAAAAGTGGTGTATTGTACTTGGTCCAGCTAATTCATCATCATAATTATTCTGTGAAAAGTGGTGTATTGTACTTGGTCCAGCTAATTCATCATCATAATTATTCTGTGAAAAGTGGTGTATTGTACTTGGTCCAGCTAATTCATCATCATAATTATTCTGTGAAAAGTGGTGTATTGTACTTGGTCCAGCTAATTCATCATCATAATTATTCTGTGAAAAGTGGTGTATTGAACTTTTAGTTTAGTATAATGTATTTTTCACAGTTTTAGAACATTTCTAGTTACGTTGCAGATATCTTCAGTTTACGATATACTTTTATATCGTCAGAGTTCAAAATCTGCAAAACTTTTAATTCCACATGACATATTACATGCAAGATACAAAAGATAGGAAAAAACAATCATTAATCAAGTTGAGTTCAAATCTTTCTTATCAGATAAATGTTTTGCATGTGAGTGTATTAAATTATATTTTTGGTCTTTTGAACTTGTACAACGTATGTATGTGAAAAATTTTCTGTTTCAAATCTTTAATCTTCTTCCCAGTTCTACTCCTTAACATTATACAAGCTTGTAAAGACTTTGAAATTAGAATGTAATTTTATAAGACATGGTGTTGACATTTACTATTCATACGGTGAGTATTAACACATCTAGCATAAGCTGTAACAACATAGATTACTGGTTTCACACTAAAAACAAGTTATGTACATTTTTTATTGAAAACTACGTTTGTACAAATACACAAAGTTTTGTAACATAATGCATTCCTTCAAACATTTAAACAGATCCAAGTGTTGGTTTATGTTTAATATGTATGTTGAAAACTGGCAGCTTTCAAGTTCCATCTTAAGAATCATAAAAATAATAAAAAGGTTAAGAAAACTTTAAAATTTCCAACATGGGGATTCAACACATTCCTAACTGTATTAGACTAAGTCCTTTCTCCAACAAACAAAATAGAAAGCAAAAAAAGAAAAAAATTTGGGTCCAACATTTAATAAAAACCATAGTATTCAAATATATTTAAGTATCAACAGCTTTTTTTTTTCTTCCAGAAACTAAGTCTTGTGTAGAACAACTTTAAACTTTTGATATCAGAATGTTTTGAAAAGTACTTGTTTTAAAACTTTCACACAAAGAATTACCTGCACATAATTTTGAACTTATGGGCTATAGTGAGCAGTCACCCACTATAAACTCTCGGGCTACTCTTGTCTAACCAAATGATAGGATTTTACTATCACTTACATTACATCAATGCTCCTAAAATTGTGTAGCATTTTTTTGCAGCAATGGGATACAAACCATAAACTCATTCATAAAGATTCACAGTTTTGGCATGCAGACCACACCCAGTATAATTAAGTACAATGCAATTTAAAGTTCCTTTTCTTAAATTTAATTATGAGCCTTTTTTTTTGTGGCGGAATACATAAATGTGCATTTAATACTTAAGTTGTTTTTTTAATTGGGTTATAGCAGGAAAACTAATTTAATATGATTTTCCATCAATCTATTTGAAAACAAGTATAAATACATTTCTAATTCCAGGATATTTATATTCATATTGTACCAATAAACAGGAATATAAATAAAAATCCTCCAATTTTTTTCATGATAACCTTACAAATCGAGTAACTATGAACACTTATTACACCTAATAATGGCATTTAAAGCATATGTCAAGAAAGTTATTCTATAGTGATACTAAAACTTACACAAGATTAAACCAAATACATAAGAAAATCAGACAACTTTTCTATATAAATTGAGAAATTTTAAGATGTAATATTTAATAGAAAGTGTCCTGAAGATTATTTTACAATATAAAAAGTATTTGATAGCAAGTACAAAAGGCAAGTCCCGTGTAGAAAGAATCATACACTATTTCACCCTATGTGAACTAAGAATTCGTAATGCTATTAGTAATTACATTATTATTAAACATAAATGCTATTTCTTTAAGTTAATTACATGTACGAGATTCAAGATTTATGTTCTATGAAGTTAAGCAGCAAATGAAAGTAAAAATTTATTAGTAACCCCTTTCAACTTGCATAAATTTACAGTTGAACAAAACACTGATCAAAAACAATTTTCAATTCAGTTGGCAGTTGAATTTTGTTCATTTTAGTGAACTTCTAAATTGAATTACAATTTATGATTTCAAAAATAACACCATGTAAGAATACCTTGTGTCAAATAGTTTGTTCCACTAAAATAAAAGATGTTTTATTAGACATTTATCATATTTCAGGGCTTAATGTGTTATAATTTACATATTGATAGGGGGAACTACAAAGGTTCTAATTACAGTACAAAACCTGTAGGTAAATATGCACACAGCAAAGTAGTTTTAAATACACTGAAGTTTTTCTGACAGCTAATAAATCGGCAAGAGTTAGGCACTAACAGCCATTTTTATATAACTTATGATAACGTAAATCATCTAATACTTTTGCTTTTCAGTAGCTTCTTTGAAACAATTTAAGTAGGGTACAATGTATGCTTGTTAACAATTATAATTGTAAATACTTACAATTTAATCAAATAGGTTGCAAGGTCTTTCAAACTAATATATACACTGATATATTGAAAAGTACAAAATTAAGTTATGTCACTAAATATTTTTAACTGCTGTCAGTGAGAGAGAAAATATCTGAATTTAAAAAAAATTAGATGTACATAAATACTAGAAACTTACAGTGTAGGATGAACAACACAACATATAATAATGTAAGTGATATTAAAATATTTTTATATATGCAGAAGGCCTAAGTCACCATGTAATTTCAATTCTCTTGAATACTTTCAAAGAAAATTGAGCTTTGTGAATAAGTTTTTAGGTGGAGGCCCATACGTGGTTCCTTTCAACATATATATTGATAAAGATAAAAACAAAAATGCTATATTCTGCCATTTTCCAAACTGCAGACTATTAATTTCAAGGAGCTATGAATTAATTGGAATCTCCTGAAGTATAAATAAGTTCACTTGCTATAATTTCATTGATAGGTGTTGATCTTCCATTCTGAAAAAAAGAAAATACAATATTATAAATAATAATATATTTTGTATTTCAAAAGTATTATTATCTTGAGAATCGTTATCCAAAGCTAATGGTAATATGGCCTATTTGTTTCTCACAATTTACATTTAGTACTAAATTATTACAGCTTATTTACTGTATCTTAAGTATAACGATTGTTGACCCACAACATAAATAAAGCTCCCTTAAACTTAACAGAATGTTAAAGTTATTTTTTTTCATTGTACATTTTAAAATAAATAAATTGCAGGGAATAATTTTCCCCATGAAATACTGAACTGGATATTAAAACACAGCAAGTCTGTTAAAACATAGATAAGCTTCCTCCACTGGCAGTTTGGAAACTTGATCTATAAGGAAGGTCAACAAGAAAGATTTTCACACCTAGCTAACATCAGAAAGGTTTGTAAAGATAGCTTGTGATTGGACAAATGTAAAGAACATTCTATAACTACCTATCCATTGCTGGCTTTTCAAATCTTCATGCCACAGTTGTATACAGTGCCATCTGTTTAAAGAAACGGCATATTAAACATTTCTGCCACTGTACATAATGTGTGATACTGTCTTTTTCGAAATAAAACATTCATACTGCCATGGACATGAGCAGCCATACTGCTTATAAAAAAAACAAAAGCTATTAAAGTTGCTGACCATCATATTAAAATTTATGAGATGTCATCGCCAATATAATTGAATACTTTCTTTTTTTTTGGCCAACCAACTTTAAAAGGAAGTTTAAAACATTTAGATGTTACAAGCTAAAAAGTGCACAACATAAAATAAACATCTAATAAGAATGAACTATTTCGTGAAGTTTGATTGGTTGTCGACCTCTCTTACTAACTCCCATAATATCACATTATTGTAGTTAGTACTATGTTTGGTACAAAAGATCAGTTTTATTCAAGGTTCTTTTTATAAATAATGAAAAATTAAGTTACCAGAAAACAATAAATATATTTTAACAAAATAGAATTTAACTTTCTACACATTTTGACAACTGCCTGTTGCAAAAACTTGTTGTTTGGTTAGGTTAGCTGTCCTGAGATTTTAGTCATTAAATTTTCAAAATTAAGAAAACAAAAATAAATTGTTTATACTTCATATGAATAGGGAGATACATAACCCAGAAAATAGTATTCACTTCACAATTTTTTCCAACCGAGAATAACAATATAAAACAACAGAAAATGTAAAAGTAAACAGTAGACTACTGACTTTAATATGCAATGCAGTCTACCACTACCATCATCTTCAGGAAAATTGGTAAAATATTAAACCCAATATTTGATTTTTCTTCCCAAGTCATATATAAAAAATTCTAGATGGGCAACCTTACCTCAATGCTAGCATCCAGTGGTGCTGATAAACCATTGCTCACTGAACCACTGTCAGAATCACAGCTTGTTTGGGATTCTGTGGCAATTTTTAGTGCTGTACTACTAATATCATTATTTCCAATAAAATTCTTGGTGTCTTCATCATCCCCATTTCCGTAATGTTTAAAAGAACCTGAATTGAATCTACCCCCTTCTCCACGAATTCTGTTCATTGCATGTCTGTGTCTTGACTCGTGAAGGTATTTCTAAATAAACAAACTAAAAAGTTAACAAAAATATATTTCACTCATGTATATATATATAACAATTTTAGTAATTTTACTAATTTCTAATATAAAATCAAAGACTATTTTTTATGCTCAAACACTATTTCTAATTTATGTCAATATGAGGAAGTTTTCATAATAAGCGATAACCAATGGTAACTTCTTGAAATTATTATTTTCTAATTATTTAACACAATTGAAAAAGAACTTGGAAGTAAATTTTTTTAAGGTATTCCACTTACTCGTCTTTCTTTGGGGATTCGTCCTTCAGCCTCTAATTTGGCACGAGCTTGCCTTCTTTTCAATATTCGGTGATACTGTTTGGCATTCACATATAACGGCTCCTCTTCCAACAGTTCAGCACCAGGAAGTGGTAACCGTTGCACTGCTTGTAACCCTCCTGTTCCTGGTACCACCTAATAGAGAATACTACTATGATACCATAATTCCAAACCTTTGTTACATATACAGGGGGTCCTTGTTATACAATGGAGTTAGGGACCAGAAAATTGCAACTTATAACGAAACGATGTCTAACGGGTAATTTTTCCCCATAAGAATAATGAGAAATGGGGGGATAGGGACAGTAAGTGCGTAAACAATGCCTATGCAATCAAAGGCAGAGCAATTTCTCCTATAAGAAACAATGAAATATGATATTGAATAGAGACCATAACTTAAGAAAATGTTGTTTTATACCTAACAACCAAAATACGTACTGCACATGTACAGTAGCTGTACTATACAACAGATATTTATAACTAATTCTGAGTTCAAGGACCTTTAAACAGCATTTAATTTTACCAAATACTTCATTGAAAACCATTTCTATGAGCATTTTGAAGCAGCCCTGTACACTTTAAAACATTTTCCCTTTTTAATAGAAAACATATTTATGACATTTTTAAGCAATTGCTCAAACATAAAACCATTTTTAGTGTAAAACATCACAGAATATTAAACAGCATTTTAAAAAGATTTTACCATAAACTTTAATTTTTATGTTCTTATCTTGGGGAGTGTATGCATTGTGCTTGATTGAAGATGGTGTTGGGACAGAATGAGAACAGAGATTCAGCTGTAAGGTCATCAACATCACTGACATCCGCCGTCTTTATCTCTATAGAAGAAGTAAGCTCAGGATTTTCCTTCACTTTAGTGCCAGTAGGGCCTGCTTTGGATTCCTTGGGTGTTTTTCTACTTGCATGTTATTAGTCAATGTTCTTTAGTGCATTATTTAATTAAATAAAAATTATTTAGTGCATCACTACCATTACTATAAAAAAATCAAGAAATATGATTTTTTGTATGTGAAATTTCGTGAAGATATACACACTATATTGAAAGTAGAAGTATTAAATCTACAAAGAGGTCACATGGTTGGTCAAATTGACCAAGCCCATGTTGAGAGAGTTAAGCTGAACTGAATCAAAAACTATGAACGACGTATGTGCAGGGAAATTTTACATTGTGTTCCTCAAAAAGTCAGTGACGTAAGTGCAAAACAACATATATCTCAATGCCATATAACATGGACCCCCTGTATAACTAAACAAATATTGAGAAGGTTGTGAAAGATCTCCTGATGTACAAGTTTCATCATTATCATATGACACTATTAATCTTCTAAAGGCATGCTAAGTATAAAACTGTGTTCCTAATTTACGGGTATTTGTACCACTTATACATTTTTAATTGTTTCAAAATATTACAGTGTGCTGCTTTTGGATCTGTTGTGGTATGTGACTTTTCCAGGTAGATTAGCATGCCTATATCTAGTGTGTCAATAAACCATGATTCAATAAAAGGTTTTTTTTTAATGTAAATTCACCTCACAAAAACTATCATTAATGAACAGTGCAACAAATTTGTACACAACCATACAAAACTAGTATACATTACCAAACAATACTTATCATATAGATAACTATTTAACTGTCACACTAAGCTGTCACTATAGTCATGCTATGAATAATAAGATGCTTGGTTTCAAACTAAATGTAGGAAATGCCTTCTTCAACAACAGAAAATGTTCAAATAACTAATCTAATTCATGACTAAAGAACTGCATACACTAACTTTAGAAGGAATTTGGCTTCCAGCAAATCTTAACTTTTAAAAGTCAAATTTGTAAACTGTGTGTTCTATATGCCATACTATAATTTTGTGTAATTGTTTGGGCACAGATATTTATTAAAAATTAAACTAAAATGCAGCAAACTAAAAAAACTTTTTTCATAATATCTCTTCCCACCAGTTAAATTGCTTATTAAATTACCTTACTTTTTCATATTACATTGTACTTCCTCCACAGTGAATGCTACCATCTAATACAGGTAATGAAAGAAAACATCAATTTCTTATATAAAATTTAAACCTTAAACTCAATAGTTATAAGTATCAATGGTACTTCAAGGCAATACAATATTTTGCACAGTGAAAGGAGCAGTACAAAATAAAGAAACAAGTTACAACTTGAAAGTACTCTATAGATATGACAACTGAAATAATAAACTATCATTAATTGTCAAGCAAAGCACATATTATATGGACAACAAAGTGGTTCTAAAAAAAAACAATGTTCCTCAGAAATCAGATGGGATTAATTCTGTATGCTGTGCAATCAAGATTGGGTAAAAATTTGCTACTATCTTCATTAATCATAGATAACACTCATTTCACATTGTTTACACATAATGGTGTACACTGAAAATATAGGAAAAGTACTGAAATCATACTTTGATTAAACCCCACACAAGAACAGAAAAAAACGTTAAGACAATAGGAGCTATACTTTTTGTTTTGCCAAAGTAGATATGACCAGAATACCCTGGTCAATTTTTTGTTAATTAAAAATGAATTTCAAATTTGATTTTTTTTTTCAGAAAAGTTCTTTGAGTTTACTTCTATCATTAATCTAAATTATTTTACTAATGCTGTATGCAAAATATAATAATGCACCATACTGATCTATTTTAGTTTTGGGAACATACAAAAATCTGGAATTACTTTTACTGAACCATGATTTAACTCCTGTAAATGTAAATTATTCATTAGCCATTCTGAGAAAATACCAGAATAACGTTCAAAACAAAGAATACAAATTAAAAAATACCTTAATATTTGTACTGTGTATAACGATTCTTAACTTAACAATGGAACACTAACCATCACAATGTTTCCAGATTGTAAGCTTCCAGTAGATGGGATGGAAATTGCCTGTGTGCTTACGCCTGCTGTGCTGGTTGTTGTTTGTTGCTGGACAACTTGAGGTGGTGGTGGGGCAACAGAGGCAGCCGGTATCTGAAGAATTCCTAACAAGTATTGTTTCAGATTAATTCATCATTTGATTTTAAGTCAGTTTTTGGAAAACTCTATATTAAGTGCAAACTTCCACAAATTAAACTTTTGATTCTCAATGAACTTGTTTCCCTAAGACAAGTAGTTTTGAGAATATAATAATTTTAAATGTTGATTTTTTTTTTTTTTTAGAATCACCCTGTACATTCATTTACTGCACAAAATCAAAATATAAGTTAATAATTCTGACCCTCACAAAAAAAAACCCAATATGAAAGAAAACTTGTTTCTGGGTATCAATATCATTCTACACAGAACATGTTTACAAGATTGGCTCCACTTCATTGACAATAACCTCATAGTCTGAGCCCAAACATGCATGCACGCAGGTGCACACGCACACAAATAGAAAACTTAGAACTAAAAAAAAGCATCTTAAAATGTAAATAGTAGTGTAGGTTTTCAGTTTGCTACCAATTTAGAAAAACAAAACAATGATCCAATATTCTAAATTCTATATTTTTTTTCAAATGTTAAGATATCTATCTATCCACTGTACATTTAGAACTATGCAATAAACAATGTGAGAATATATGAATAACACTTTGCCTCTTTAAAATGTGAAATAATGGTAAGGTTTTATTTTACAGACTTAAATTTTAACTAAGGAGATCCTTCCAATTCTGGGCCTGATAAAATCTAATTGTGGGCCCGCAGTTGGAAAGCCCTGACATAACCAAAGATAATATAATTTATCTTATTGGCAGGATTACTGGGGGTGGGGCAAAGGAGAGCAGTTGCACACACACGCTGTGGGATATAATATACACGCATTTACGATAATTAAGGCAGATTATTTTTTTTTGCTTCCCACATTTTGGTCCCAAGACCCACCCATGATTTATATTATACACTTTTTCACTATAAAAATTCCAGTCCTAAAAAGTTACTTTTAGTATTAAAGGCCAAATTTCTGTAATTCATAACAAAAAATTTGTTTGAGAAACATTTAACTTATGTTAAAAATATTCAAAGTTTTTATAAAAAGCTACATGTATAATGACTGAGAAAAGTGACTTCAATAGTAATATCATCTTCCCGAAATGGAAAAATTTATTACAACTGTTTTAAAAAAAAATCAAGCTTGAAAACCTGCTACTTTAAAACAAACCATAGATAAACATCACATATAAACATCTATGATTTTTATTGCATAACTACAACTAAGATTCAATGTGAAAATATTGTTAAAATAAAACATACCTCCTGGACTCTGCACAAAACTTGTTCCATCTACAGCCACTGGCTGATAAAACAAAGTTTGGCCATCAGCTGTCTGGATAATCTGCCCTTGTTGAGGCTGTTGGATAATGATCTAAAACACACATTTATTATACAGTGTAAATTCCTATTATTCAAAAAATTAAATTATCTTAATGCAAGCAATAAATATATAAAATTGGATAAGCTTTCAAGACAGTTATTTGGCTGAAATTTTATATTTAACATCTCATAATCTCTTTCTCTTTGTTCATTATAATTTTCAAAATGAATTATTCAGTTGCAGGCACATTAGTCATAAAATTGCTTATAGGATCCGTTGTTCTAAACTATTTATGCACGATGTTGCTTTACAGGTTCATGACTTTGTTAATTTCAGGACCCTTAGTAACATAAAAGTCACACTAAAAAACTGTTTACACAACCTTCAGTATTCATTAACAAGCAAACGTACCCATCCCCAGTGACAGGAAAAATTTAAGTTAATCTATCAATATAAATTATTTCATGAACTTTAAAAAAGTTAATTGTTTTGCACTCTTGGTTTCACTCAGAGCCAAAGCTTTGAGCTACTTATACCGCCCACTACGAAAAGTAATTGTTGGGCATTTAAGTCGTGCTAAAAGCCGCTCAACAATAGCATATGGTAAATTTACATTTGTATCCTTTAAGTTAGGTCACGTTTTGAAATGTGAATGATAGCGTAATTAATTCCTAACATTTTAGTGTAAAATATCCTGCTTTGCAAAATAAAATTTGGCATCAACATTATTCGTGCCTGTTCTCCCGTCATTTCAAAAGTGAATGTTGAGTTTTGTCTGCATGCACAGCTTTTCAAATGAGAGACAAACGGACACTCTGACAGGCATTGCAGTTCACAATATATATAATATTACTGCTGGGGTCCCATGCAGTTTAGACAGAAAATGGGTGATTTCACTCAATTTTCTTGATCAGTTCTTTATACTGAGTGTTGTACAAGATAAATTCATAAAATTACTCAATATGATACAATATGTGGATCACACTAATAGTAAACAGTGTTATTAATTTAGAGGTATATTAAGTTATCTTTTTTGCACTTTAACCCTCAAAGTGAAAAAAATAGAGTATAATATACCTCTAAATAAATAACACTATTAAAATAAGCATAAAAGCAAAATAATATTACGTCCCCACTTTTTTGCCCAATAAACACCAGACTTTAGAAGCATAATTTCAATACTTAAATACCACAGTAACTCCAAACTTGGAAAGTTACACTGAAGTATTGTTGATTAATCTACTTTGAAAATTTCCAAATTTTTTTTTTTATGTATGATTATCAATCAAAATCAACAACTATTAGAAATCCGGATCTGATTATCCAAATCACTATTGGGTTTTCCTTATTTGTTTCTATCTGCAGAAACTCAAAACTTAATACTCTCCAAACTGTTAGGAAAGAAACTGATATACAGGAAGTTTCTTTAGAGAACTTAAGTCTTAACATAGTAGATCTAGTAAAGAGCAACCACTTCAAAACTATGAGTTAGGCAAAAGCAATACAGTTATATTACTTAGCTTATGCATGTAATTCTTAATAAAATGAATCCAGGTGCTAATTCTTTTTCCAAAAGAACCTTCAATAGCTATTTAAAAAAGTTTGATAATCATCCCTACAAATAATATGTCTCCTGCAAACATTTAGTCTTCACTTTCTGGTCTCTAGATTTGATAATCACAACAAATATTGCTGTAAATAACAATTAACAACATGTATTCTAATAAACTTCCCATTCTTATAGAAGTTGGAAACAAATTTCCATTTCTATATACTGAATTACACCACATACTTACTTGTTGAGGTTGACTCTGCTGACCTTGAACTTGGCTAATTGGAATAACTTGAATCTAGGCAAAGAAAAATAAGGATAACCATGGCTTAAATGTATCACAAGATTAATAAAAATAAATAAATAAACTCAACACTGATATTATATATCAATTTCAAAAGATTATCGATTTAAACTTGTATACACTTTTATTCATCATCTCAATTTTAAGTCTGTCAAAAATTTATGGTTTTAAATACAAAATAGATTTGGGGCAGGTCTTTAGGCCAAAGTGGTGTATTACACAGAAGTCTCTTCTTTATGCTGAGGTTGTCAAAGAGATAGATTTTGACCAATAGACAAGTCAATTGCTTTGTATTGCTATTATGGTCAGAGAGTTACAGCTTATTTCACTCTCTAGTTTCCTTAATAATTTGATTGTAATTGATATCTCAAAATAAATTAATCTATAACAGTTCCTGGTGTTTACTCTTGGCCTGGCATGGCCTGATGGTTAGGACACTCAACTTTCAATCTGAAGGTCACAAGTTCAAATCCCCATTACCAAACACGCTCATCCTGCCTATATGGTTGCTAACTGGGCCAGTCACCTAGGGGTAAAAATGTTTGGCTTAAAAAATACTGGCTGACCCGAAACTAGTTGGGACCAAGGTTATAAACGAAAAAACATTCCTGGTGTTTACTTTTTACTTTCATATGTACAGCAAGGTCCTTTATTTATGGGGATGAAGAAAAGTTCAGTTCATTCTTGATCTTGGATTTCAACTCAATTGGCTTTAATAAAAGTAAAAACACTGTGTGATCTGTCTTTTTTCTCACGATGTCTGTTTTTTAAATTTTAGAAAAAAACAAAACAAGGTTTTGCAAATTTCACAATTTATTTTTACTTCATTCCACCTTTTTGAATGCAAAGACTAATTTTCATATCAACTTGATTTTTTCAGACAAATTCTCTATACACAAATGACCTTATAATACCAAAATTTGTTATTTTTCTTTAACTGAACACCCAACATTTTGCTTTACAGCTTCTTTAGGAGTGTTCCATTAAAACACAAACTGTAGCTGATAATACAAAGCTTCAGATGGTTTATTTGCTTGCAAAAGTTGAGTGTCCATTTAAAAAAAAAAAAAATTGGTGTTATAAAGCATTTATTTCTAATATTAAAATATTAAATAGGTTACTAATCATTGAACTTTAGCTTCCTGTCCTTTATTAACATCTGACTTTCAACTATTGTCCAAATTACTGTTGCACAGTGGTATGTTATGCTCCTTTGTAATAGATGTATATAATTGCACTTAATATTTTTGTACTCATGTTACACATTTCACCTATAGGTGTTGTAATTCATGTAATGTTTTGGTTGATGTAAACATTGACTTTATAATATTTAAATTTGTAGCATTAGGCTGTATATACAAGTAACAGTGAAAAAAAAAAAGAGAATTAAAAAAAGTGAAATTTCAAAGTGTATACATACATAATTAGGATCAAATAAAAATCTTTTACTTGTGAATAAGTTACAATGTTCTTACTCAAGTTATGATACAAAAAAATACATGCATTTATATTAAAGTTGTAACACCAATATTAAACTGATATTTAACATTAAGAGAACAACAATCAAAATTAGAAGAGGTGACTTTAAAGTTACAAAAGAATTAGGTGAGCATAGTGGAAAACTAAAGCCACTACTTTTATCAAAAACTCAGAGGCAATGGAAGGACTATTAAACATTAAAAAAATATATGAAGACAAAAATCTTGCTTAATACTGTTTGAAGAAGTGATAAACTAGATAAAGTGTTCTACTGAAATAATGAATGTCAGGCATAGTTACCCTACAGAATATTGCATAAATACTCAAACTGCCTCAGTGTTCCACATCAGTTATGATTCTGTTTGGTTTTGAGGAATACAGTTAGACCCTGCTTTAAGCTGATTTATTAAAGAGCTCGTCTCCTTGAGAGATTATTCTTTTTCATGAGAGAGTAAAAAATTATAAAAAATCCATAACTATCTGAACACTACTATTTCATACTAATGGTAGTAGTGCAGTAAATATTTATTTAATAAAATAATGCAGAAAAGAACATAGAATAATAACATGCAAAAAGCAAACAATGTCCCATAACTACCACAATTTTCCTGGCATTTCTAGCAATGCAATATGAACTGTTAAAACATCATCCATCTACACAATATCATTCCCATGGGGAAAAAAACATTCTCTTAGGAAGTGATCTACAAATGTCTACAGAAAACAATGTAATACATCATTTGACAGATGAAAACCTTACCTGTCTGTTGGTTCTAACTAATATAGTCATAAATGTAAAAGAAAACTAAATGCATTGAAAAATCATGAAAGAGAGGATGTGACAGGTGGGTGTGGCACGTGGGGTATGATTTTCTATTTGATGGCTGTGTAATCAAACGAGATTGAAGGCTACTAAAAATGCTTTTTTCCTGTGATGGTGATATTATGGTAAGTAATTTACATTAAGTTTTCCAGTACCAAATAAAGCATTTATACATCATTCACAGGTAAGAAACAATGTCTTCAGTTATATATCTTCATATATATAATGTTAAAATGACCCTGTTTAGAGCTGATTCGTTTAGAGCTCTGTTCTCAGGGACACTTCCTGAGTGCTAAACGGGGTATTACTGTATTTTGACATCACAATCTTTTAGTTGTTTTGCACATTATAAAAGCTCACTTATCTATTGGAAAGTCTTTTTAAAACAATATTTGATAACCCAAGATACAATTGTAAGCCAAGTTTAATATATAATATTGTATGTTTTTACATTAAAATTAATAAACATTTATTAATAAATTAAACCTGCTGTAGTTGTTGACCAGCTTGTCCTTGTATCTGGCTGGTTTGTTCTTGAGCAAGAGCTTGTACCATTATCTGTTGACCAGTGGAGATGAGTTGCACTGGTACCTGGTTTCCACCAGCCTGTGACACTTGGATCACCTGAAGATGACACAAGGGCACACAAATACACAGGGTGTTATTACATGAAATTTAAATGCACCAAAAATACACTTTCTTTTTAATGTAAAAATGCACAAACTGTAATTTTTATGGATTGTGTTTCTTAAAAGTCTAGAACAAGACCTAATTTCTCTATTTAATTATAAAGTTCACAAAGTATAAAGAGACAAAGTTTTACATATTAAAAATTCACAAGTCAAAATAAACTATTGATACAATCTCACAACAAGGTTCTACACCATGGAGTGATAAAAAAAAACATCCTAAGTGAATTTAGAAAGGTTTTTTTTTAATTAAAAAAAAAAGGTGACAGAAGGCCACTCAACTCATTAAGATCATCCTTCACCCACCAAAACATGCAGCCAGAATGTAAAATACTAGTTAAAGATAGAACTTGGAATCCATATATCCATCCAATAACCACAATTCCTAAATGTTACAGCCTACCAGATAATAGCAAAAAATGCTAAGGTTAGGGCTTATTCAACACTTGCACATGATGGGACAATCTATATGGCTCACTAGTAAGGTTTTCTAAACAGCATTAATTTTTAATGACAAAATGCATTTCTTTCAGAGCATGGCATGAAAATTACACTAATTTCTGTGCACACACACACACACACACAAAATAATAATAATAAATGCTTTATACACATGAAAGACATTTAATTAGGTATCTGGAGGAAGACAAAACATTTTCAAAATAAATTGAACCCGAATATACACAAACTGATATTACTACTTATTTAATAGCATTTGTTATACACTTGAAAAGAAGGCAACATACTATGAAGCTTTATCCACAGAAACAATGAGTAAAAACAAATGTCGGAGGGTGTGTATTATGAATAAATAGACTATCAGTTGCAGTATCAGCTATACTTCCAAGATGAGATTAAGAATATACAGTTTAGAAATACTGTGCACATACACACAAAGAGGCATTCAAACAAAAACCCAAGTTACAATGTTGAGCAGTTTCTCAACCTTTTGCACCAAAATGCCCAGTTAGTTATTTGGCACAACAGTAAAGGCCCACATATGCAGCTGACGACTCAACATTTTAAGGCACTTACAGTTGTCCTGGCCTGTGGCAGCCCATAAATGCATGTCTCATGGCCCACCATTTGAGAATCACTGGTCTAAAGCAGAAGTTCCCAAACTCTTTTAGTCTGAGGCTCCCTTGATGTGCACAAAAGAGTTTGAGGCCCCCAATCTATAACTTTAGCATTGAAAAACAGTGTCATAAGATCTCCTTTTCAACATACTGTATCATTTAATTAACTAAATATCATTTTTATTGGCTTATTGTTTATTTAGAATTAAAATTAATTCAGCATCTTTATTTTCGGCCCATTTTTGGGCAGCCCCCAGAGACGCCGCTGCTCCCAATTTGGGAAACACTAGTCAAGAGAATAAAATTCCTAGCCCTGATGAGATTTTTCCTAAAACTTTTAAGAAGTTGTAACAAAGTGGTCAGTAGGGTCAGTTATTTCTTTAGAAATTTATTGAAAAATGAGAAATTCAAAGGAAATGCAAGACAATTTTAAAATACACAAATAAAACTTATTAAACTTTTATTTGTGTATTTCAAAGTTCCATTTAATTCCCATTGAATCTGCGTATGAAGTCAATTTAACCTTCTTAAGGATGAAATTCTCAATAAGTGGAAGATTAGTAATGTAATTTCTACCTTTAAAAAAGAAAAGAAAAAGAAAGGGTTGATAGGGAGGATTGCAAATATTATTGGTTTATTAGCATGACCCTTTTTTGTTAGTAAGGTGTTTAAATTTGCTGATAAAAGTATTGTAAAAAGGAATTTGACAAATGTAGTACTTAAGTAACGATTTTTACCATGGTTTTAGGAAAGGGTTTCTAATTTAATGACAGGACTTCCAACTTTTTTGGATGGAGGTTAGTTGCTGTTGTGTACCCGACTTTCATAAAAACTGTTATAACAGGTACCCCATAAAAGATTAATAATTAAGTTAGATGGATATAGAATTCGTGGAAAATTAAAAATTGGATGGAATATTCAATGATAGAAAGTAAAAACTGATGATAAATGGCCATTATTTTCAATTAGAAGAATAAGACTAGTAGGATCCCTAAGAAATCTGTTTTTAGAACTTTTTTTATTCATCATGTTTTAGTGGTTACTATTATTGGGTAAGTTATTTTGGAATATTCTGTAAAAAAAGAAGACAGGAAAGTCCAATCCACTTATTTGCTAACTTCTCTCATACATTTGGTAATCCTCACATCTCTATTACTTCACTGAAAATAGAAACTCAAAATTTACAACAAAGAACCAACTAACTGGTTGGCTCAGTAATCAACCAACAATCTTGGTAAGCTTTGATGAAAAGAGCAAATTAGAGTTCTTGGTTGTAGGAATTTTGAATTTAATCACAAAAAGGTTATTGTAGCCTTATCCTTGTACAATATTCAGACTATTGTGAGCAGTTCTGATCCAATTCTTACACAATGAAAACATATTAGAAAGAGTGCAGAAACAAGCTACTAAACTAATTCCTAGTCCAAATCATTTAACTCATTCACAACGACTAGGACGTATACTTCTCAGTGCACTGGAGAAATATAGTCCCTGCTGCAGTGAAGGGGTTAGCTTAAATTTTGAACTTGTTTTCTCTGGAACACAGGAGAATTAATGGACTTAATTCAGGTATTTAAAAATGTCAGAGGTCTGGAGAGCCTTCTCATGGGTAGAGCTAGGCAATATAATTGATTACTTGTGAGTAGTGATTTGTAAACTTATCAATTCATCAAAATTATGATTAATGGATTGATGTCACAAAATAATCAACCAATTATAAATTAAGATTTCTGATTATCTATTTTTTCAATTATTCCAACTATCTATATAATTGAAATATTGCCATTATGTTTATTGTTAAATGTGGGGGTATGCCTAATGATTTGAATGTCTTGGGTTTGATTATCATTGCCAGTAAATTTGCTTGTTGTACCTTTGTTATTCTATAGTACTAAGGATATTTTCCACTGTCACTAATTTTGAACTGGTGACTGGAGGGAAGGCAATTGGCTGGTACCACCCACTGCCAACTCTCTGGCTACTAAAATGTTATTATATTGTGTATATTTACTGCTTTTTTACATTGTGTTGTTTCTAATTTATAACTGCATAACTATACTCTTTAATGTTGTATAAGTAGGCACAGATCTTGGGAGGGATCCAGATCCCAATCCATTTTTTCCAGAAATTAATAATTGTTTTCTTTAATGTTGTATAAGCATGCTTGGATTTATGAGAGGGGGTCCAGGGGTCAACCTCCACACCTTTTTTTCAGAAATTAATAAGTTTACTATTTAATTTTGTATAAGTAGGTGTAGATCAAGGGAGATAAGAGTCCAAAGCCCCTCCATTTTTTCAGAAATAAAAACAAACAGACATCCTTACACTACCATATATTTCAGGTTTTCTGAAATCAACACAGCTAAAGTCTACAAAAATGTAAGTGCTATGACTGTGGAAGAAATGGCTTAAAAAAATTAACTGAAAACAGTACTCCTGTTAATGCTAAAATGTGAATTTAGGTGTAGACTATACTTTTTTTTATAAATATAATTGCAACTATTTAATTTCAATTATAAAATTTGAAATGTTTATCTTTAACCATTTCATTCTCTTATCAATGACATTACTAGAAATACAGATATAAGCTTTGAAATCACTAACCCAACTGAGCTACTTATAATGCCTTTTGTAGCCTTTCTAATTAGCTTTATTACTAAAACTTACTAGTAGTATGAAGGTATAAGGAAACAATGAAACTAACATAGATTTATCAGTAGCGGTTGGAACCCCCCTCCCAAAAACATCCTTGATTGCCCCTGTTTTGAATGACAGTTTTTCAAAGTATGAATCTAACAATTTTAACATGATTTTTAAAAAATGCATGAACCTAGAAATCTTGGAAATTTCTATACATTTATTTTTATGTTCATTGAATATCATATACTCATTTTTGTACATGTTTTGAAAAATAATTTTATTTTGAACAATAGTTCAATAGTTTTAATACAGTTGGAATGTTTGTAAACACAAGTTTTTTTTACTATAATCACCAAGTTAGTTAAGTTAAATTTACTATTTAGCAAATATGGTAAGCAAGTGCAAAATATTCTGATGGTTCAAATTTGTATTGAATATTATTCTTATGTTTATCCTTTTCAACAATATACATAAATAAATTGTCTAACTGGCGACTTTAATTATTTGCAATTTCAATCGTGACACGTCTTAAATAAAAACATTTCTACTTTCATCAGTGAAAGTGAAACATGTTTTCATTATTTAATTATAAATGTATTTGTTTTACAGACGATCAGTGTGGGATAACTGCTTATTTGAAAAAAAACAAAACAATGACAACTAAGTGGTAGTGTTTAGTCAACAACAGAGATTCATTTGCCAAGTAGGAAATGGAAAATGTCCATAAAACCTGTAGCAATATTGGTTTTCAAAAAAACAAAAAAAAATATGTTTTTTACAATATGCAAAAATTTTGACTTCAGAAGATGTCTATCATAGGAAATCAAGGGTTATTCAAAAACTACATTAAAAAAACACCAAAACAATGTGAAGAAAAATAGAAAGATTAATACCATGTTAGAATAGTGCAGTTTCTGAAAATATTATGAAGCTCGCAACCACCCTGGTTTTTCTTTTTTGCTTATACTGATTGTAGAGGGACGTGTTGCACTATTTGATTAATGAGGTTGTCATTTAATCAATTAACAAATATCATTAATCCACAGCTCTACCTATGGGTGAAAAGATTTGGAATACAAAGTTGAATATTAAAATTAATAGATTTTCATGCTTGGGAGCCTAAATGCAGACTTTTGTTTTGCAAAAAATAATTTTTAACATGGACAAAGCAGAACAATTTAGTTCTACATGGCTATCCTTGCTGAACAACCTTTGAGAAAAGTAAAAATTGAAAACCAACCTTTTATTTTTCAGGAAAGCAATTATTACCACCTTAAAACATTGTAAAGTGTCAAACTCCACTACTGCTGACAGCAACTCATTATATAATCCAATCATCCTGTTAGAAATAGCACCTCCTATGGTTGGCTCTCTGACCATTTTGTATAGAATACCATCCAGAATCTCTTTAAGATATTTCTTTCTCTCCCTATTTGATTTTATACAATTCTTATCAATGTGGCTAAAATTAAATTGTCCCATAATTATAGCATCAGTATTCTAAATATAACAACCATGATTTCATTATACAGGGTGTCCAAAAAGACTTGAACCATAGGCACTTCAACAAGTTTTACAGAATGTGTTCCAAATGCTGTCCTTGTAATCCAAAACAAGTTTGGATTAACAGCAGGATTAACTCGAACTTCTCATGCTTTGAAAGTGCCATAATCAGTCACATATCTGAAATTAAGAATGTCTGGAACCATAGTTCTGAAATTAAGAAAAACTACAAATCAACTGTGGTTCCAGATGTTTTGTACACTCCATACAATATCTCCTTGACCTCATTTGCCTGATCGGGTAGACTATAACATATGCTAATTAAGAACTTTCTACATTTGTATGCCCTGACTGTAACCAATACAGATTTAACTTTTCAACATTCTCAATAGGCTTCAATTGATCTCTTCTGGAAAAATTCACTCCAACACCTTTTACAAAGTATGTCACTATTAACTCAATTATAACCTCAAATTTTAGAATAATTCCTAGTATTATAATGTTTTCAAAATATAACCAAGTTTTAATAATTTCCAACATCAATAGTTGTGAAGTTTGTGAAATGTAACAATTATTCATTAAAATACTGTTTTTATTCATCTATTCACCAGTGCTTAAATTGGTAAGTGGTTAGTGTTGAAAAAGTTAACAAATGGATGAAATGTTATAATTTTCAGGGTCATCATGAAGCCTTATTTATAATGGTAATTTTTTTAAAAACTTGATTTAATACATTAATCTAATATGCTCTGATCAAAAGAGTTAAACCAACAAAGCATTATAGCTAAATAAATTACAACATACTTGTGGTTGTGTATTAATTTGAACAGATCCTGGAGCCTGAAGATTCTGCATCACTGCCACCTGTTGTCCAGATGTTCTCCCATTTTCAGACACCTCTACAGGCTGTGCAGCTGCAGACACTTGGAATTGATCCATGTGCATAAGTGTCTATCTCTAACTATGGTGCACTTGTTCGATTTGCAAAAACTTAGAAAAAAAATCATATTCTCCAATTGAACACATTAATATTATTTTCCAACTTAATTTACAAATTTAAACTGAAAAAAATAAGAAATGTGGTACATCATCTAACCTCAGACATTATATTTTTGTTTCTGCACATAATTACTTTGTCCAGAGACCAACTACCTAATCCTTTCATCTTAAAAAAATACATAAAATTATATGCTTTTCTTAAAATAAAATTCGAGCTTACAAATTATATAAGATGAGAAAAACCAAGTATGAAAAATATAAAAGAAATTATGTGAAGAAAGAATAAGGCTTTTTTTACTTTCTAGTTGTTTCTCTGCAAGCCTTTTATGTGTAATGCAACATATTTTATACACATTACTAATAGTACAACATTAGATTTTATAATAAATGATAGTAAATTTCTTAAAATTCAGATCCCATAAAACTATTTCATAGGTGAAATACATATTTAATTAAGTATCTGCTACTTGGTTTAATGTTCTACTAAGTGGAAAGTTTAAATCCAATTCTTGAGCAATTACTAAGTAATGAAACACACATGTAGCTCTACTTATATCTAGAATACAAGTTATATATTAAATGGTTTCATGTACCAATATTATGTTACATTTATAAATGTATAACATGTTCAGTAAAAATAATTGTATAATAACCAGTTTAAAATGCTATTTCAACATATCACCTCTCATTTCAAACCAGTACTGTCACGTTAACTGCATGATCTGTTACCAAATACAGCTTTACTAATTATTACTTGTAGAAGAAAGTTATTTAAATCAGATTATTTACAACTAAAAGAAAAATATATAATTGTAGGGCTAAAATGAGTCTATGGTGATCTAGATGATGCATAAATTACACTGACAAACAAGAACAAATCCCTGTAAATAACAGGAGATTGAAGTTCTATAGATTATTTATGCAACTTATTTCATGTGGCACAGGCCTAACAGTAACACTAACATCATATCAGAGTAGTATTTAGATATGTTGGTATTTAATTTTAGGCACATTACCTAACTTTCAGTTTCAATTTATTCAAATTTTTGTATAATGAATACTAATTTGGCCAGTAGTAATACTAATTACTAATAGTAATAATAACAATATAAAAAAGTTAAATTGAACTGAAAAGTAGATAGTAATGACTACTTAAAAGTTTTAATCTTTAAAGTTAAACTTACAATATTAACACTAACTATTAATTTAATAGTAGACCTACCTATGATTACTAGCTACCATATACTATTATTATTAAGAACTTCCGAGTGATGAAATTGAAAGTAAAAATGCATATTAATAAAAGTAATATTACTACTAGTAAAAGTACTATGTTATGAAACAACGTAGCCTATGACTATAATAATAATTTAATATTATAAGGTTGTGTTTTATTCTAAAAAACTAAATTTTAAAAATATCAAGAATTTGTAATCATTACTTTTTGAAATCCCTCATACTGTACCAACAGAATATTACTGCTTTTTTCTCTTAATAATAATCATTCTAGTATACTAATAAACTAATGCTACTTCAAATTCAATGTAACTCAAAATCAAATCCTGGTGATAGCTGTGACTGAACTAACTCAGCACTCGATTCTTTGCTGCATGGTCTAGCACTATCTACTAACATGTTTCGCGAGGCTTTGTTTCACAGTCATAACTAGGCTTAGGGTTGACTGAAAACCAACTTCTGATTTTCACGTATTTGTTACATATCAAACTTGTGTTCTCATAATTGCACGAAGAAATCGTAGCACGTGGTTCCTAAACATGCTGTAAACGAAATCAAAGATAATTTGCTAACTTACATTGGATAGAATCACACTGGACTCTTCTTGATTGGCTATGAAAATCTTGGACCAATGGACAACGAATCTCCAGCCATAAAAACAACAATCTTCATCTTTATTGGTGCTGTTCCCTTTGTTAGTTGTTTTCCCTAATAAGCAAAGTCCTAAAACCCCTAGAATGCTTTTCCATGAAGTTATAACACAAGATAATTTCACACAAGAATCCTTTCATAATAAGAAAATTTTATGTGTTATTTTTTTTTGAAAAACTTTATTAAGCAATTTTTAATGATAATTTGTTGTATCAATAAATGGGCCACAATAGCCAAGTTTAGCAACGGAATTCTGGTTCTCCAATCTGCAAACGATAATAATTCACGTGATAAATACATCCTAGTATATATCATGTGTAATAATTATTTTGAGATTCTGGGTTTTATGCTTTCAAACAGTAATTATCGTGAGTGATTGGATCCCACATGTTCCATGGATATTAACAGATTTACATAACTATATCAGGATGTCATTAAAATAGCACAAAGTAAAAAACAAATAAACTATTTACATGGATGAGACAGGATTTAAAAATCGAATATCTGCAGCTGAATTTTACTTGGTAACGAATCTTATACTTTTGGCAGGAATATATGTTTGAATATTTGCTGTGATATTAAATAATTATATGAATTGTAAATTTTTCTTCTCTTAGCTGAAATTACACATTTTAGTGAAGAGATGGAAATTTCACAATTAATATATACAACTATTTAGTGTTACGGTAGATACTCTAACACGTGAATGACGTAGAGGCATAATCTATTCTGTGAAACAAAAAGGACTTTACTTCAAATTCTGAAATTATAGATATTGCTATGGACTTACTTAACGCCAAGTCATGTAAACATATCGTTGGACATCCATTGAAAACTATTGGAGGAAGACTAACGTGTCTTTTCGGAGGTTGTACACGGATTTGATAGATACCATGTAAAGTGTGGTAGGTCTGTAGTAGTTTGAGTAGTAAAATAGTGACTTAACAGTAAACATTGCAGTTTTAACCCTTTAGCTAGGTTGGTAGAATACTAGTTTGGCATATGATAACTGTCGGGGTCAACTATGGAGAAAGGAAGTATAAATATTGGGAAAAAATAAAACTATCACAAGTCAAAACATATTTAAGTGACTGTTGTTCTGCAAGACGTGAGCAGAAAAAATACGAATAAAAAAATTAAAGGTATTGAAGGATAATTTAAAATGTCTGAATAAACACTTTATTCTGTTTTATTTTGTGCGACATCAAGGGCAAACGCCTTACATCAAGCAGTAAATGCCGTTGCACATAAAAACTAAGTTAAGACTTTTAACCTAATTTCTTTGTAACATGATGTTTATTCTGACGAATGGCGTTCTGTCCGAAATGTCGGCTCGGCATGGCCGAGTGATTAGGACTCTCGACTCGTAATCTGAGGGTCGCAGGTTCGAATCCCCGTCACACCAAACATGCTCGCCCTTTCAGCCGTGAAGGCGTTATAATGTGACGGTCAATTCCACTATTCG